CGTGAGAACAGCAGGTGCAAAAAGCACTTGCAAGAGAAATTTGAGATCTGAAAAAGCTTCCAAAGTGGCCTCTGGTGCATTCGCGAAAACAAAAACTACAAAAAAAACTTGCCTCTTAGGATGTATTTAGTGCTCTCCAGAAATTAATATAGCTGTATGTTGTTAGAATGAGCCTGGGTTGAAATAAACACTACAGTACCAGGGCATTATTTTGCCTTAGGGAGCTGCATTCTCATTACCCCATAGCAAATTGAAAACACCGGAAAAAAAAAAAATCAAATGTATCACAAAAAATTTTTTACAATCACCTTAAGTGGATTTTCAGTTATTCTAGAAAAGCAATATTTTAAATATAATTTTTAAAGATATGGTGTGGCTATTCCAAAGTGTAAAGTGTCATTTAACAGTTAAATAATAATTTATTCAGAAACTTATAGTGGATGACATCTTGAAGTTAGATGCAGTAATTTATTCAACGTACAGCATTTTCATTTTCTAGATTGCTTTTGAAAATCGAAATTGGTTGGGTTTAGGGAAGTAGGTGGATGGTTAAATCGATGTTTTTGAAAACACTATTGGTTGGGTTTAGGCTGGGCTTTAACACCTCTGAAATCTGATCCGCACCTCATCAGCACTTCATTTTACCGATCCCCCTCCTCAACCGCTCTCCTCCCCAGTTCGCTGTTCTCTTTCACTTTCTTCCACGACTCCCTAGCCCTCTTCACTTTCATCTGCGACAACCAACCCCCCCACCCCCAGCACGGCTATTAACTTACATCCGCGACACCTCCCGCCATTTGATGCTCCGCTATACACCCCCATCACACACTCCCCCCTCTCCACTATCTTGTGCAACACCTCTATATCCTCGAGTAACATGCCAGATACGTTATCCCGATCTGTTCCAGGACCTTGCAATTAAGCAAATTAAGCACTGGGTTTAGAGAAGAATGAGGGTGGGTAAGTCGATTGGTCAGTCAGTAAGTCAGTCAACAGCAGCCTCTGGTGGATTTATACAAGAAAAGCAGGTGCGAATGGCACTCGCAAGAAAAATTTTACCCACTGGCCTCTAGTGGATTTGCAAAAGCTAAAACTGCCAAAAAATGCACTTCCTGGGACGTATTTGGCACTCTCCAGAAATGTATATAGTGGCACATTTTAAGAATGAGCCTGGGTTGACTATTTATATGTATTCTATAATGGTACAACGGTCCAAATGCCACTCTTATGTTGTTGTCACTGTTTGACCCGAGTTCTAATTGATCAGTTGTTATCGTGATTTGTAATTAGCTTTACATCTGCTCATTGTTCTGGTGATTACTATCTGTGTATATAAGCCAATCAATGCCATCTGTGTGTGCATAGATGCATTTTCAGAGTGTGACCACACAGATTTTGCCTGTGTGGATGTTTGCGCTTCGTAATGGTACACTACAGATGCATGTGGGAGTATGGTAAATGTGATGTCAGAGTGATTGCGGTGTGGTCTTAATGTTTAAATGAATGTGCGTTTGTGGTTAAAACTGACTTTGCTGTAGTCATTTGCTTGCTGGGTATCATCCTAATTAAAGAAAACGGCTTTGAAAGACACCACGGGCGGCCGTGCTACACTTCAATTAGCCTAGCCTCATGCAGCCTGCTACTGCATGATTCCTGTTAAATGTATTTTTTTAAAGAACATTTTTCCCCCCACTAAATTCTCCTCCAGGCAACACAATTACATTAAGCCTCACATTTACAGAGCAATCTTTCAGCCATTACCCCACCATAGCAGCATTTCTGAGTCTCAGGCTGTATGGAGGTCTCTGGTTCATCAATACGACTGGGAAATAGCTCCAATTCTCCCAGTCACTAGAACTCACTGTTGTGGAATTAAATAGGTTGAATGCACTATTCAGAAAATGACATCTGTATTCCTCTCTCTCTCTCTCTCTTTTCAGCCTGCACACCAAAAGAATTGCTCTCTGATTTTGGTATTACTTGTGAGCCTATAGAACCCCGTGAAGACACGTTTGCTACAGTTCCTGGTTCACACTACAAGCTAAATTAAAGGTGCTTTAAACAAGTTTTTGACTCTTCTAAAGCATAAAACCCCATAATATGTTTGCAGACATTTGAGAAACATGCCAAGTGAACATTCACGTTCAAAAATAATACTGAAGTCAGATATTCTGCTTTGAAAATATGTGTTACGTAGAACATCTGTTGTTTTGGTCATTTAACCCGCTCAATGCCAGTTTAGCCAATTATATTTCAGCACTCTGGTTTGCCTTTGTGGAAAACAGGGCATTTCATTCATTCAGTCATGAAAGCTCCCAAAGTATGTGCCTGTGACTGAAATGAGACGCAGATTCAGAGTTCCACATGAAGTGGTTATTAACTAACAAATAATATAAATATTACAAACGTAAACATTAGATGAGCAGGTTTCATTGTAACTCTGTGTCCTAACGACACTCTAAATTTGGAATTAAAGCTTTTAGATAAATAAAATGTTTCTTTCAGTATATTAGAAGACTTCTTGTGTCATTATTTTTGTGGTCAAAAGTGCATCAAGGTGTGGATGTCAAATAGACATAAAGATTTTGACATCAATCGATTAGCATTTAAAAAAATATATTTTGTCGCTAAGCTTCCGCTGGCATGTTACCTTAAATCTGCAAATCTAATTGCAAAATAAATAACCTTTGCTTGCTGTGTTTCTATGGTTATCAGTGTTAATGTCAGCTTATAGCTTGTCTGTTATGTTTCACAACTGTTTTACACCGGCAGCTTTCGTTCTCCTGCCGCTGCGTCTTTCAGCTATTCAGAAATGGAAAACATTGCACTTCAGATGCAAATTGGGTGGCTAAAGTGTTTTAAATTCTTCCTCCTGCTTTGCGTCAACTGAATACTCATTTGGAATTTTACATCATTATCGTCCCAGCTTGCCCTGCATTTGTGGCCGATTCTAGCAGCTCCAATTAGGCTGAAGTCTAATTACTTTCATTTAGTAAGGTATTAATTCAGAATTCACCCTCTCCCCGCTCTCATTAGTTCCGGCACGATCTATCAGAGGGTATAATTACCGTTGCCTGTTTGGAGTAGAATAGGGGAAGTAACAGAGGAAAACATAGATGTACGACAATCAAATGTGATTTCTGATTCTTTATTGATCATTGTGGTTGTTTTATGTCTTGGCTTGACGTTTATGTGAAAGTGGTAGTTTTACTTCTGGGTTATTGGTGCTGTGTGTGAGTGATATACTGTAGGGCCTTTAGGAGTTGTTTGAGGTTTCGGCTTATTGTCTAACTTGTTTCTTCAGACCTTGAGAGTCGCCGCAGGTCATCAGACGTGGAGCGGCTTTACTGATGTCACACACAAATAGACATTCGGCCCTTCAGGCTCTACAAGCTTTTGTCAAAGTGATCTTCCTGATATGTTGGTCTGTCTCTTCCACTGAGGGCTTCTGAGAAGGTCTGTGGTGTATTTTCAGTTTTTTTCTTTCTTTCTTTCTTTCTTTCTTTCTTTCTTTCTTTCTTTCTTTTGTGAAAACACTCAACATATAAGAAATACTATCATTTAAAAGTTTGCAATAGTTATGATACTACTGCTACTTCTGCCGATGATAATGATGATGATTATGATGATGATGATGATTTATCATTAATTTTCTTTTCGGCCTAGTCCCTCCACTAATCCGGGGTCACCACAGCAAAATGAACCGCCAACTTATCCAGCATATGTTTTACGCAGCGGATGCCCTTCCAGCTACAGCTGCTACTCGAACCGGCGACCTTCATGCTGTGAGGCGACAGCACTACCTACTGTGCCACTGCTTCACCTAAAGCTAAAAATAATAGGCTATCAAATGTTATGTAAAACCTAAATAAAAAATAAGAATTAGTTAATAAACTAATGATTTAATGAATATGTTTTCATTTTAAATGAACTCAGTAACTAATAATTAAATGCAACGCTAAATAAATAATTAAGAAAGAAAGAAAGAAAGAAAGAAAGAACAAAGGAACAAATTTAAGTAAAAAAATAAGTAATTAATAAGTAATTCCTTGAAAAACAATTCAATAAATAATATTTTCATTTTTCTTAACTCAATAAAACTCAATAACTAATAAATACAAAACTAAATAAATAATTTGTTAATGAGAATAAATAAAGAAAGAAATAACCAACGATTCCATAAATAATGTTTTCATTTTACATTAGCTCAATAACTAATAAATACAAAACTAAATAAATAATTACAAAAAAATTAAAAAAAGAAAGAATGCATTTAAAATAAAAATAAGATGAACTTTAATTAATAGGCTATCTAATATTAACGTTTTAAACTAAATAAAACAATGAAATAATTAATTAATAACGGACAATTCAATAAATAATGTTTTCATTTTATATAAACTCAATAACTAATAAATACAAAATTAAACAAATAACTCAAGAAAGAAAGAGAGAAAGAAAGAAAAAAGAAAGAATGCATTTAAAAAGTAAGAAATATAAAAATAATATTGTATTAAATATTATGTTAAACCTTAAATGAAATAGTATTACTAATATTAATTAATAAACAAATGATTTAATGAATAATGTTTTCATTTTACATGAAGTTAATAACTAATGTAAATACAAAGCTAAATCAATAATAAAGAAAGAAAAAGAAAGAAAGAAATCATTTACAATAAAAACTAAGAAAGATAAAAATAACAGTGTATCTACTCTATTAAACACTAAATAAAAAACAAACAAACAAACAAACAAACAAACAAATAAACAAACCAATAAATAAATAAATAAATAAATAAATAAATAAATAAATAAATAAATAAATACTTTTTTAACTTTAAATAAACAAAAACACGTTTCCAGTTGTCACATTAAGGGAATTTATTATCTAATATAGAAAATAAAAATTATGTTTATAACTTTATAAATTAAAATGCTAAACGTATAGTAAAATGCCTTACAGATTTACAGATGCCGGGGTGTTTTCTAATGCAGCCAGCAGGAGTCTCATGAACTCAGTTTGGCTCTGCAGACTGCAGAAGTTTGTCTGGATGAAAGTTCAGAGCGCGGAAGTGAAGACAGAAACTTTTCGCCTGAATCTCTGCAAGAGAGCAGCAACAAGTTCCCGCGTTCAGCTTTGGAAGAGGATGTCGAGGAAGATGAGTACGACGATGACACGGATCGGTCAGTGTCTTTGAGGAAACCGCAGTTCGTTGTTTTATGAAGCTTTAGTTCAGCTGGGATTATGGGGTTGCCGACGTTAGAGTTCAGTGACTCGTTTGTGGATAGTCCGGATTTTAGAGAAAGACTCAAATGTCATGAAATCGAGCTGGATCGAACCAACAAGTTCATCAAAGAGCTGATTAAAGATGGACACCAGCTGATCTGCGCGCTCAAGAGTGAGTACACGACACACCAATACACGGTGGCAGGCCGTTTTAACTTTTATTCATTCGCAAGATTTAAAAAGATGCTAATCATCTTTGCTGAGAGGAAAACACAATCACAGGAGATGGTTCTAATGCACTTTAAAACCCAACGAGTTAAGGTAACTCACACCATTTAAGGAAACCGATTGCAACAAACCATTTAAATAAATAATAAAAAAAATCCTAATCTGTGAACTTAATCCATTTGAGTAGACGAAGCAGTTTGAGCACAGTAAAACCCAATAAATGAAAAGAACCCAAACCAACTGAGTACTGTAAAACCCAATAAGTTGAAGCAACTCAAACCGATTAAACCATTTTCGTTAAAAAAAAAAAACGAATCTACATGAGTACTGTGAACTTACTCCATTTAAGTTGAAGTAATGAGATATTTAATTAACTCATTACCTTCAACACTGAGTTCAAAACTCTTTTCAAATGAGTAGAATTACCTTACAGTCAATTTTGAGTTAACTACACTCAGTCATTACTTTTGATAAAGTTGACTGTTGGGTTTTACAGTGTGGTTCCCACCACAAACACCACAAAAACCATCAAAACCAGTATATTTTTAAAAAATTGTAAATTTATTTTTACTTGTTAATTATTGTTTGTTGTTTCTTCATACTATTTATTTCAAACAACGCAATTACTGTGGGTTTTTTGTGGGGCGAGGGAATTTCAATTTAATTGTTTTATGTTGAATACACTTAAATTTTTAAAAACTATCAACTAAACTTAATTCTTTTATGTTGACTTAACACCAATCGATTGCATGGAGCTTTTTTTTTTTTTTTTTTTTTTTTTTATACAGTGCACTGCCCTTCAGATTCAACTCTTGACTTAGTGACAGCTTTCTGGTTAAAATTCAAATTACATTTACAATTTCTTGCCTTTATTTTGTTAAAATGCTGGTAATTTGAATTAGCAAACGTTGTAGGCTAATTGTTGATAGGGCTGCACAATATGTTGTTTCAGTATCGTTACCGCAATGTGAATATTCACAATATCACATCGATCGTAATTGTATGCAATGCTGAATCTGGATTATTATTTATCATTTGCAAGTGTTTTTTTGAGGCCTGTGACTGTGTGAGGGTTTTAAAAGTATTCAGGCATAAGATTTTGTACCATTTGTAACTTTGAAAAATTTGTAACAATCGGTTTTATTGAATTGTTTATAAAATGAACACTATGCAGTATTATTTTACATTTGATTGCTCAGTTATTGTTCCTGAATACAGTTTGACTCCTTGGAAAACCGTAAAACGCTGTTTATTTGAAATGTATCTTTTTCTTCATTGATTATATCTTTGCCTGTAGATTCTAGGTTGTATTTTATGTATTTTATGATATTTTATGCAGATGCACTCCCCTACAGAATCATCCTAATCAATCTAAAATCGTAAATTCTTTCCAAATAGTTATTCAACACATAGTGAAATTGTATTCATATTGCAAAATATATCGCAGAATCAAAAAAAATTTCAGGCATCTGTAGTTGATATTATGACCTTATATATTGTCAATGGCAACAGACAAGCCCTTTTATTCATTTACAGGAAATACATTTTCAATATTTCCAATCAGTCTTGATATGCAACAAAATGCATTTTTACCAGTTAAAATGCTACTTCTTACTATCATTCATTAAAACTTCAAATTTGCGTTTTGTTGGTTATGCAGTTTGGGAACTATAATGTTCAAATGTTTACTATTTTAATGCTTATCCGTGTACATCATTGGTCTAACATGATCTCACAGCAATTCATAACTTTTTGGTTTATTGTCTAATTCTTATGAATTCACATGATCGCATTCGTACAATTTAGTATGATTTGTTGATCACCCAATAACAGTTGCGTTTAGGGGTGGGGTTGGATGCCACGCCTCCTTTTTAAAACCGTACATTTTGTACGACTGAACTTGCACAAATTTGTACGAATTAGCTACTACACAGACAGTTCGTAAAATGTTTTCTCATGAGAATCTTCTGCCTTGTTCACAGCCTTTTATGCTCGACTACATTTTTGACTGTTTGTGCCGTCCACTGACTGAATGATATGTAGGTTAGTGTATGCTCCAGCAAGGAATTTTAATTTCTGTCAACTTTGCCATTGATTAAAGAATTAATAAACTATGTAAATGCTAATAATGTTTAAGTTTTGTGGAAAAAAAGCAGTTTAATATATGGGATAAAGTACATCCAGGCGGTTGTTTTTTTGCAGAATAAAGCCCTTCACTCTTATGCTGTGTTCAGATCAGACACGGAATGCACAAATAAATCACGATATTCGCGCGTAAATAGACGCGTGAACATTTGAGTTTACTCGCTTCATTCACGTGTCAAAATCTGCTTCTTTTGCGTGTCAAATTCTCTTCAGAACAGACGCGGATTCACGTCATGGGCAGGGCTTCTGTCTGCCCTGTGAATGTATCTTCGTTACTAAATGGCTAACATGGATTTTATTGAGAGAGTAACTGTGTTTATGTGCTTTAAGAAGGCTGAAAAACAGCGTTGATTCATTTGGAGCAGTGTCTGAGTCCACTAGATACTTTCAGAGGTGCACTCAGATCTGTGAGTTTATAGGAACTTAACCTGGATGATGGAGGCTTTCAGCGGTGCTTCTGACTGAGCCGAGACCAGTTTGATGAACTGTTGTTGGTGTAGGCTGGAAGATTATCCCCCAGTACATCAGCAATAGGCGGTACGTCATAATCAAGCTCCTGATTGGTTAACGTGGTGCGAATTACCACTGAAGTTGAGATTTTCAAAATGCTCAGTTCGCCCCACGCCATTCACACGTATCGTCATTTGCGCAGTTCTTGCCATTCGCGCCTTGCCATTCGAGTGTATGGCACCGCAGGATGTCTATTCACGTCTTTGCATTGACTTAACATGTAAATCCCTCGCGCTTGACGCTTCTTTCTACAGCAATGTTACACTTCTTGTTGTGCTGCTGATAAGCCTGTTGTTCTTGATATCAGCAATCATATTTTTTATAAAATATTAAAATACTAAGATTTTTGATGTTGCTAAAGAAATCAGTGAAAGTGGAAAAAAAAATGAAAATTTGATTCTTCAGTGCCTATTTTTTATTCCGGTATCATATTATTTTGATGGTCGTATTTTATTGAATTTAAGTTACATTGCATCTACATGATAACTAATACTCATTAGATTATAAGTAGGCTGTTAGGCTGGGGTGAAAGTTAGTGTAAGTTGACATACTTGCAAAGTTGCCTATAGTCAGTTAAATGTCTGTTGAAGGTGCTGTATCAGCAAATATAAAGCAGACAGTCTACTAATACTCAAATGAGAACTAGCTCGCATGTACAGAAGTTGCAATGCAACTCTTAGTCAACAAAATGTGCAATAGGGACCATCAAAATAAAGGTTTACCTTTATTTGTGTTACCTAACTAATTAAGTTTATCCTCCATAGGTCTATACATATGTTTTTTTATTGACAACCAACACTGTATTCAGCAGAAAATATTTTATGTGTTTTTTTTGTTTTGTTTTTTTCCGTATTCAAAAAATCCACATGATAATATTTTAAGCTATCAACACAGCATGGAATTTAACTGGTTTTAAACACATCAAGCTAAAATGATTTAGTGTCACCTCACTGATCTTTCTCTGTTGTATCCAGTAATTAAATTCACAGGACGCTGTGACATTTTAATCATTTTAATGAGCTAAGCATAATATTTAGCTTTACACTTCTACTGTGTGTTGATCATTTTATTAAAAAAAAAAATCTATGACTCTGTCACACTCAAGGACATTTTCATAAGCATGACAGGAAGACAAGTAAATAATCTCATTAGAATTTAGCAGTTAATAAACAAATTATAGTGTTGACATCATTTCACATGCTCATCCGTATTTAATATTGTTATCAATGTCAAAATGACCACACAATCGTTATTTTTATTTAATATTATTTTAATATAAATGTATGCTAAGTTGCAGCCTGGTTACTCACAAATATGTTCGGAAATCCTTATTGACTTAACATATGACGCATCATAACTCCGAAAATGAAAATCTTAGAAATGTGTGATCTTCCACATTTGAAGACACTAAGTAAAAGAAGTAAAAAGAAGTGTAAGTTGTACCCCTGGGATGCTAGACCACCCCAAACTTGTCTTTTGACTTACAATAGTGAAAAAACTCCTCTTCAAAAAACATAGAGACTTGGGGTGGGATTATTTGAATCAGGCAACCAATTAGATTCTCAGAAACATTCTAAAGCTTAAATGCCACACCCTAGCAACCATTTAAATCACCCTAGCAACTGATACTATAGACTGCCATTATAAAGGTATTGATGTTAAACCAAATATTGATATTTGACCAAAAATATAAATGAGGCTTGCCATCTAATAACCCAGTGTACCCTAGCAACTGCCAGTTAGTAACCACTTAAAACAACCACCCAGCAAAGCCTTAGCAACTCCTTAGCGATTGCCTAGCAACCAGTTAGCAGGTGCTATGCTTCCTGCAAACTGTCTTTAGCCCCTTTCACACATACAGACCTTTCCGGAAAATTACCGGCAATTTTCCGGAAAGGTTGTATGTGTGAACAGGTCCTTTTTGAAAATACCGTTAAATTCGTTCTGGCTATTTTCCAGAAAGAGAAGTTGTAACATTACCGGTAATTTGCCAGAATGCAGGGCTGTGTGAATGCAGAAGGAAGATTGCCGGAAAGAGCGCGTTCACGTCTAGAACGAGCTGACGTGAGACGTCTGCTTTAACCAATCCGAAGAGTCAGACGCATTCACGTCTACGCGGTTTATGAGAATAAAAGCCTTTCAATATTTTACTAGACGCATTTAGCTGCTAGAAGTTTCAGTCAGTGGTTACAAGTTTTCAGATTTCGTCATATTATATTATTTTATGTTCAAGAGCGGAAAGAAACTCATGTAGGTTTGGAACCACTTGAGGGAGAGTAAATAAAGTAT